CATCATCATCATCATCATCATCATCATCATCATCATCATCATCATCATCATCATCATCATCATCGGCATCATCATCGGCATCCTCATCATCAGCCGCATCAGCATCAGCATCAGCATCAGCATCAGCATCAGCATCGTCATCGTCATCATCATCACCAGCAGCATCAGCATCGTCATCATCATCACCACCACCACCACCACCACCACCAGCATCATCATCATCAGCATCATCATCATCACCCTCAATCTCATCCGCATCGTCCTCCTCCTCCTCATCATCATCATCATCACCATCATCATCATCATCGTCGTCATCGCCATTATCATTAGCATCGCCATTATCATTATCATTATCAGTACCATTATCATTATCAGTATCATTATCATTATCATGATCATTATCATTAGCATTATCATTATCATCAACAACACCATCCTGACCATCATCATCAGCATCAGCATCATCTTCTTTTTCCCAACCCTCCTGCGTTGGGTTTTCGTTTTAGATAGAGCACTGCTCGCGCGTCTCCTTCCTTCCCGCCCCTCTCTTCCCCCCTGCCTTTTACCTCGCTCGTCGCCATCCCTGGGGGGCTGCGATCTGCGAAACTGCCGCCACTTTCGAGGCCTGCTGGGGGGCCCAGCACAGTGGGTACCCACCGCAGATTCAAATTAGACCTCGCCATCCCTGGGGGGCTGCGATCTGTGAAACTGTCGCCACTTTCGAGGCCTGCTTGCGGGGCCCAGCACAGTGGGTACCCACACGCATATTCAAATTAGACCTCGCCATGTCCCTGGGGGGCTGCAAGATCTGCGAAACTGTCGCCACCTTCGGGCCTGGCCGGGGGGCCCGCACAGTGGTCAGTCCCACCGCAGATTCAAATTAGCCCTCGCCATCCTGGGGCTGCGATCCTGCGAAACTGTCCGCCCACTGTTCGAGGCCTGCTGGGGGGCCCAGCACAGTGGGTACCCACCGCAGATTCCAAATACGCTGGCTCGACCTCGCATGACTTGGGGGGGCTGCGATCTGCCGAAAACTGTCAGCCACTTTTCCGAGGCCTGCTGGGGGCCCAGGCCAGTGGGTACCCAACCCGCAGATTTCATCTTAGCCCCGCCATCGCCCTGGGGGCCTTGCGATCTGCGAGAATGTCGCCACTTCGAGCCCTGCTGGGGGGCGGCCCAGAATAGTGGTAACCACCCGCAGATCCCAAAATTGCCTCGCCATCCCTGGGGGGCTGCGATCTGTGAAACTGTCGCCACTTTCGAGGCCTGCTGGGGGGCCCAGCACAGTGGGTACTCACCGCAGATTCAAATTAGACCTCGCCATCCCTGGGGGGCTGCGATCTGTGAAACTGTCGCCACTTTCGAGGCCTGCTGGGGGGCCCAGCAGATTGGGCACCCACGGCGGATTCAAGTGGGACCTCGCCATCCCTGGGGGGCTGCGATCTGTGAAACTGTCGCCACTTTCGAGGCCTGCTGGGGGGCCCAGCACAGTGACGCCACGCGCGGACCCAAATTAAACCTCGCCATCCCTGGGGGGCTGCGATCTGTGAAACTGTCGCCACTTTCGAGGCCTGCTGGGGGGGCCCAGCACAGTGACGCCACACGCAGATTCAAATTAGACCTCGCCATCCCTGGGGGCTGCGATCTGTGAAACTGTCGCCACTTTCGAGGCCCGCTGGGGGGCCCAGCACAGTGACGCCACGGGCGGACCCAAATTAGACCTCGCCATCCCTGGGGGGCTGCGATCTGTGAAACTGTCGCCACTTTCGAG